AATGAGACTGGCACCTCACTGAGGAATTCACACTGTTGTGGCTGGATGACTTTGGGAACTGGGGTTTTTGTCTTGGAAGAATCTTGCTTGGGGTTGTAGCTAAAAAACATAGCTGGATTGAATTGGCATTGTCTCTTGGAGTTCCTTGGGCTAGGCCTGACATTAATTTTTGCTAGAGGTAGTAGGGAAGATTGAAGGAGGATTTTATAATAAATCAAAAAGTATTTACATGAAGAACATCTTTGCAACTATTTTAATTTCATATAACCACTTTGGGAAAGATGGAAAAATTGATACCAAGAACCAACTTATTATTTAAAGTAATGCAATTCCTTAAGTTACTGTGAATTATAATAACTTTTAACTTCTGATTTATCTAACTCATTTCAGAGGAGAGAAGAAGATGAACTCAATACAGCCAGTCAGGAACCATACTGATTCAGTTATAAAAAATGAAGGTTGAGATCATTAGTAAGTTATAGGCAAATTATGTTCTAAAACACACTACTAGTAATATGATTTTTTAAAGTCAAAACTAGTACAAGGTACCACAGTATTTGTCCAAACATTTCAGAAAAAGAAAAGAAAAGAATGAATGCATAACAATAAAAAACTGACCTACCTAATTGTTGAAACAAAAGAGCCACACTAGTTCCTGTAACTGGAAGGCTATCATGTAAAGGAGTTTGTATCAGTTGCCTGTCTCCTGCTCCTAGGGAAAACAGTTTCTGTAGAAAGAAGTGTTTAGAAGCTTATTGTGCAAACTATAAGGTGGTTTGAATGATTATCCTGTCCAAATTAAGTTGCACCACTAATTTATATGCTGCCAACAAAACAACACAGGTATGTCCATGTAGTCACCCAAAGTTGAGCTCAACTTGATGGAGAAATTACTGTTATTACTTATCTAATTTACAGTGCAATGTTGGCCATACCAACTCAGAAGATGTCCTCACTATTTCAATAAAGTTTATTTCTAATTAAGTTAATATAGGATTGCAACATGAATTAGGTAATATACACTGACATATAATCTTGGTGTCTAGAAACTCATTAGGAAAAAAGTAATACTTAAAATGACTTCTGATTATTTTCATAAGAGGTTTTTCCTTGTCCCAGACATATAGTACTGTGCAAAAGTTTTAGGCAGGTGTGAAAAAATGCTGTAAAGTAAGAAT